TGGTCTTTGGTTAAAATACCTCCTTTAACTGTGTTCAGTATGTCTTAGAAATGATCAAGAGTTATATTCTGGCAATCAGAAGATGGTATACATATTTTTTACATTTACATTTAAACAGTATCTTCCCTCACTAATTCTAACTGTTTAAAATCATTCTTCCATTAAAGTACTTTATGGTAGGAAATCATTTTAGACTGAAATCTGTGAAGAAAAAAGTGAATAAAGAAAATGCCCAACTGGCAGAAAACTCACCCCACCTGGTTCACAGACACCAGAATATTATGCACTGTCTGCTTCCTAATCACTTATCACTGCCAGTAATAATCTGGCACAGTTCACCTCACGCTTCCTACATTTGTCTACCTCAGACTAAAATTACAGCATATAGTGGCAGTTATTTCACCCACTGCATAAAGAACAGCACCAGGGCTTATTTTGTCTTTGCAAATATCCCTTCTGTCACAAATTTCTGTATATATATATATATATATAAATAAATTCCCTTATGAAAAAATGTGTGGGGAATGTCTAGTGTTTGTTTTTCCCATAACCAGCAGATGACAACTCTTACTGATGTATTTCCTTACTGATATATTTCATATATTTCCACTGCATGTGTAAGTGGGTTTTACAGGTGTATAAATTATATATAATACACGCCTGCATGTCAAAGAAAACTGCAAGGAATGTGGACAAAGTGCACCTTTGCATGTCACAAACTTGAAGATATGGTTGTTTAAGTTTGTGGTGTTTGTAGGCTTAAGGTAATATGTGGCAAAAGCCACACAGCTTAACAGTGCTGTCTCACCATTCAACCATTCATGTTCTTAAGTCAAAGCAGGTGCTAAGGTGAACAGAACAACACCCATAAAGTAAATGTTAATGTTTAACTAAATGTGAATGGTGTATGCAATTCCAACAAAACAGCTCAGCTTTTTCCCCACAAAGAAATAAAGTGGTAAATTCCAAATTGTGTCTACAAAACAGCACCACTCCTGATGGTCACGAGTTTTCAATGAACTTTCTGCAGACGTGGTCTCCAAGCAGAACATATCTGAATCGTGTTTTCAGTGGATTTTTCCTTAGACCAATTTAGATCCTTTTCAAACAAAGCAACTAACTTTCATGGGGGGAAGTAAGACCACACAGAAAGTGGATGTTGAATCAAAAGATAGATGCAAGGAAAACCCCTATGTTTTAATTTCAGTGGGAGTATTAACACTGAAACTGGAAATAGTTAATCCAACTCCAATACATCACTCAATAAATAAATAAACATAATATATGTAAATCCAAATACCCATAGCTAAAAAAAAATAAGAAGCTTTGTGTCCTTCCTACAAACTCATCTACAAGAATTTAAGTTACAAACTTTTAAGATTTTTTTAGATGAATCACATTACAGCCAAGATCAGCTTACTGTCTAAAGATCCAGCTTTTAGAGTTTCATTTCATTTTTATTTATAACTGTGCTTCACATAAATTTAACCTCTTAACTGTTACTTAAATCTTAGAAATTTCTAACAAAATGAAATACTTTGGCATCTTGTTTGTATATGTTTGTTTTAAATCTAGATTTCTGTTGAACCTTTATTTTTAGAGTTTTACTTATCTCACACTGAATTAGAACATATAGTAATATATGATTTGAATACACTGTTAATAATTTCATATTAAGGCAGGAAACGCTGCTTTTCTTTGGAAGCTCTTTCTTCCCGCGTGTATTTATTTGAACGCAATTCAATTCTGCCACTCACCCCATTCACATTAAATCATGAGTAACTTTTCTGTTACTGGTATTGCGTAAGAAGTTCAAGCCTAACTTCATTCTTACAAAACTTAACTGAAAAGCTGCGGCAACCTGCTGTGAGCGAAAAGACGTGTAAGCTCGTGTTTGGATAATGTTGTAATTACAACATCAATTCAGCGCGATCACTGGATCACGTGGAAACTAGTCATAATTGTCAGAGAAACACACAATGAAACACTGTGCATTGAAATATCAGAAACAAGAATTTAAGTTATATAAAGGTAACACACACGAGGCCTACGTACAGCTAAACCTTGAAAAGTGACCTTTGTCATGTACAGCAGCATAAACTTTTCTGTGAAACGAACAACACAGCCAGCAACAACGAAATAACGCAACAACAACAACAACAAAAAGAATACAAAATTTCAGTCTCAACATTTCAGCTTCTGTCTCAGACAAATAACCACAGCTGCTCTTTAAAGCTACACCCAGCGTTGCTCAAAGCCTAAAAAACATCCTCTTCCTGGGGAGACTCGTCCTCTCAGCTCGCCATGTTGCCGTGTTAACGTGTTAACGCTGAACTTCTGCGAGTTCAGTGTGAAAATGCAGGGTGCTTCAGACCCTTTCTCATACAAAAGCCCAAACCTGAATGTTTACTCACCGAGTTCGCAAAGACTGTCAGTGGATCTTACAGTCGTCACCACCACGGACACTATTTCACCTCGTAACTTAGCTACACCCTTAACACGTAAGCATCGGAAACTAACTACGGTATATAAACCCGGCCAGTGCGTTCAGTAGCAGAGCGCTTACAGAGAGCTTAGCCACTGTGATGTAGGCTGTTTAGCATCTATTTTTACTAGATTAGCTCCTGTAATATTTTAAATATTATTTTAGAGTTTGGGCTATTGCTTTTATTAAGCAATTGTGTACTTTGGCACGTAAAAAACACTTTAATTATTTTAATGAGCACCTGCGAACTTCAAACAGCTAACATTAAAGTGTGTTTGCTTTTACGACTTATACGTTTACCTACTCAGACAGCTAATTGCTAGTGAGTTATAGGAAGGGATTCACAGCATGCAAACTGACTAACCTTGGAGTCTGGCCTGTGTTTCTCAACGAGGGGAAAACGCAACTCAACTTAGATAGAACTCGCTCTTTATCATAATTCACGGACGGGTGTGTCACTAAGTGCACTTAGTTTTAAGCTGCTGTTAGCGAGGGCGCAGTAACGGCTGGGTTTTTATATGAAAGCCCAAAGCCACCCCTCTCAACGTAGTTTGGGCTGCTCCGAAGCCGAAAACAAGTGCTCCACTCACGCATGCGTACTACCGCAAAAGAATGTGGCCGCTGATACCCTTCCGATGGATCAACCGGCGGCGACACTGTTTTACAGTTTCTAAAGGTACGAGTTTAAGCAGGTGTCCTCTGTGTTACAGCTTAGTGTTCTTAAAAATAAACCTGGTGGTAAGTTGATAAAGGAAAGAAGTAGTGTGGGAGCCTTGCTGTCAGCATACACCAGGCACAGGGCTACGCGTTACTTAGCAGTATGTCAACCAACTGTTAGCTTAACGTCAGGGAAATGTTCATCATTGTTTACCGAATCACTCTTAAAGAAAACGTTGTAGCAGGCGAACAACACATACACTACACTGGGATGATCTTTTGACACGTCATCAAACAGTGCTGAATGTCAGTGATTTATAATTCATATAAATCAAAGTGTTCTCCAGCTTTGTGTCCCATGTGTTTATGGAGCTATCTATGCTCTTGTAGCTCATGCAGATCATTCATGGCGTGTACAGACTCAAAATGTGACGTAAATTAAGCACACGTTTCTGCCAAAACACATACACAAGACAGGACTGTGGCTTTCTTCTCTCAGAAGGAGCCAACATTGTTGTCATTATTGTTTTGTGTTTTAGTTTTTTGATTTTATCACTTACGTCAATCAGTTTTTCACTTTAAGTTCAGGTAGGTTTTATTGCTTGAAAATACTTAATTTTACAGGTTTCAGTGTTACTTTTAGTCCCTATAATCTTTGTTACATTGAGGCCACACATGAGAGGAAATCTTTAGGAAAATCAGTGCAGGTATTACAATAAAAACTCGTCTGATGGCTGAAACACAACCCTCCATCATATCATATGTGGTTGCAGTTAGAATTTGGGAACTCTAACTAATGGAACATATCTCGAAAAGACTTGTTTATGAGGAGACGGAGACCTATTTTTGCATTATTTGAACAATGAAGGGAGAGAAACAGATTAGCTTCATCTATCTATTTATAATTTTCATTTTTAGATTTATTTATATTTAAGCATTATTATTATTATTATTATTATTATTATTATTATAGAAAAGTAATTTTGTGAATGCTATATTCTGCCACCATAACTGTAAATGTGACAACTGTAATATAACAACGAATGACTAATTTTTTAAGTGTTAATAAAAATTAAGTAAAAAAAAAAAACATCTTTTGAAAGCAGTTGATTCACATTGTTCAAGACATCCAGAGTCTCAATACACATATCCATCAATGCCTCATCAGCCAAGCTATTATAAAATATTTGCCATACTAACAGATAGTTACTGAGGATATTTCCTCTGTATTTATTTAAATGTAATTTTAGTCAGTTTTCCAGGTTCAAAAAAGTCATTTAATTTAGTTTTAATCTGTTTCAAAAGTCTAGTTTTTATTTTAATTTTACTTAATTAGAACTTTTTTCTTTTTTTCCCTCTAGTTTTAGTTAACTCTAATAACTTTGATGTGCAGTGCAGTCTGTTACTACAAATAAATGATCTGAATGGTTTATCCTGCCATAAAGGTTTTGGTATTTGGACACTCCACTATCAATAATCGGTTTAGTTGTTTTTTGTTATAACAGCAATAGAATAAATATGTCTCTATAGAATAGTGCAGCATTTAATACCACTCCATCTTTTCCGTAGTAGTTTGTGTTCAGCAGCTCCACAGCAGCAGCACTGAGTTTGCAAACATCCACTACGATGGACTGTACCCTGGACATATTCCCACCACCACCGTTCAAAAAGCTCTCTTGTCCATTGGGTCAGGTGTGGCGGCACTGCAGAACCCCTACAGACATGGTGAGACACTCACGTGAGCATTTCCGTGTGCACTGATTTTCTTTCTGTGTGTTAGGGACTATAAATCGGTTAAGATGAGGATGTTTAATCAAAGTGCTGTTTACAAGGTCAGTTATAAACCTTAAAGCAGAGCTGTTTTTGGGTTGAGGGGCTTTGGCGTTAACTGTATAAAATTTAGTGCCAAAATTTACATTTGAACTTTTTTGCCTTTGTGTCTGAATCACAGAGATCGGAGCCTAACCTTAATTTACATGTATTTTTTGAGCCAGTGTTTTCACTGTACAAACTGTCTTCTCGATCTCCAAAAAAGAACAAAGTAGCACAAAATATGTAAGAATAAAAAAAGCTGTGTATTTTTGGTATTTTGCTACTTTGAGGAATTCAGGCTTCTTGGTAAAACTGATGTCAGCCAGTCTCCAACTGATAGGGATGTCAACAAGTCTGACCTTGATGTGGCTTCAGATTGTGGGATTGTTTTCCATTTTTCAGAAATGATACCACTGATTAGTTTCTTTTCCCATGTACTGATAAAGCGTTTTGTATTCATTCTCAAGGGCTTATTCTCTGGAGACCTTTAGTACGTGACTTAAAATGTCTTGGAAACAAAAATGAGACTAAATACAAATTACAGTCACATATTAGTTACCCTGAAACTCCAATGAAGGAACAGAGTCATAACACCTGTCAGCTGACATTTAGTGAGGTTTCTCATGACATCCACTGCTTAGTATCGATTCATGTCCAAAAATAAATTGATAAATAAATGGATTTTTTTTTTTAAATGCATTTTTCACAGAGGTCTTTCCCAGCTCTGTCTTTAAAGCAGACTGATTAAAAGTTTGGGAAGTTTCTGAGTATTGCTTCCATGATGAATAAACAGTAGTGACCTGTTTAGAATTAACACATGGTTTCTTTACTGTAAATAAAAATATCGTCAACTTTTCACTGTACTGTCATGATGTTGAACTCGGTGCCCTTGGATTTCACGAAACTCTGGGTACTTTACAGACATGGTTGCAGTCCTGGGGGAGACAACGGGACACCTAGCACTCATAAAGCTCAGGGACAGGATGAGAAATGACCCTGAAGGCTACGCTGTCCTAACGTGAGTCAGTGTGGCAGAACGTCATAGTGCTTTCTGCTTCGGGCACATTAAAAATATGTGTCCTGTCTTCGAAGAACGCTGTTTAAAATGTAAAAAAAAAACAAAAAAAACACCACAATGGTGTGATGTGCAAATCTGATAAACCCGTAGTTTATTCACAATAGAACATAGACAACAAATTAAATGTTTAAACAGAGAAAATGTATCATTTTTATAATTTGATGGCAGGAACCTGATTGGGTATAAAAATAGCATCTTTAAGAAGCAGCATTCCTCAGAAGTAAAGATGGTCAGAGGTTCATCAGTCTGCAGAAAACTGCATCTACAAGTCATTGAACAGTTTCAGAATTAATGTTCCTCAGTGTAAAATTGTGAAAACTTTGAGTTGCTCATCATCAACAGTTTAGTTGGAGAATCTGGAGAAATCTCTGTGCACATAGGCAAGGCCAAAATTAGTACTACATTTCTGGTGTTTTTGGACCCTGGCAGGAACCCTGCTGTCTTCTCTAAGCTATCCATTTAAAGTGGATCGAGGCAAAGACAAAGACAGTTCTGTAGTCAGAAAAATCCAAATTTAGAATCTTTGGGGCGAAAACATGGATGCTGCAAGACTAAAGAGGAGAGCGACTATTCAATTTGTTATCAGCGCCTGCATCTCTCTCTAATGGTATGGGAGTGCAACAGTGCACATCTGGAGAGGTAACATCAAGCAACTGAAAGGTATATACAGATTTTAGAGCAATATACGCTCCCATCCAGATGATATCTTTTTCAGGGAAGGCCTGAAAGCAAGACGATGCTAAAGTGAAAATATGACAAAGAAGACCCAGGACTGCTGAGCAGCTGGAATCCAAAAGTCCAGCAGCTGGTTTCAGTTTTTCACAGTTTAAACATTCTATATGGTTAAGCTTGCATTGCATTAGTTTTTATTTATATTTTACACAGCATCACAGCTTTTTTGGAATTAGTGTTGCGCTTTATTCTTATTTGATTTGATCTTGCAGAGAAAGGCCGAGGATCCGGCTGTCTACGCTCGATCTGACAAAGATGGCTTCGCTGCCTGACGGCTCCTTTGGGAGGGAATACCTCAGATTTCTGGAGGACAATGTGAGTATTTGCTGATGTGATGTGCATATATACTTGTTTTTTTGTGCATTTGTAAACACTTATTGTTTGGTATAAACACGCTTCCTTCCTTCTTCCTTTTTTTAATTTTTCCCTCAGGATGTGACTCCTGACTCAAGAGCAGACGTGAAGTTCGTGGACAACGAGGAGCTAGCTTATGTCATGCAGAGATACAGAGAGGTCCACGACTTGCTGCACACCTTACTGGGCATGCCCACTAACATGCTGGGTGAGTCGAGTTCTGTGTAATCTGAAAATGCTATTTTCTGACATTTACTTTTATCAAAGTAAAGGTTTATTTATAGAAACTTCACAGCCAAGCCACGCATTGTCTTTATATAGTGCATACCTAATTGTATGTCAGTGAGAGTTATTCTGTGCATGCCTGAACAAATGTTTCCAGTTTTACAGCAAAAAGATTTGAACTCCATTTCTTCGCTCCCAAGTTTTCTCATCTAGTTGTCTCTACAAACCTACAAATCTCTAAACCTACATTTTAAGTCCATTTGATATAAAGTGTTGACCTGAGTTTTCAGTTTTGCAGGCATCTCCTATTTGACCGATTCTATATCAGAATAAACCTGCCAAAAACTCTGAGAAATAGGGTTCACACAGAACTTATTTTAATACACTGTTGGCTGACAACTTCTCCTTTTCTTTCTCCTAATTTAATCTTTAATTTGCATGTTTGTGTCCTTTTCTGTGTCTTCCGTTCAGGTGAAGTCGCTGTGAAATGTTTTGAAGCTACTCAGACCGGGCTTCCCATGTGTGCTCTTGGAGCTGTGCTAGGGCCACTACGGCTAAATGCAAGGTATAGTTGGGATAACAGGAGAGTTACAGTTTGACTGACTTGCTGAAATTTCTGTAAGTGCTGGGTTGAGTCTGATTACAGGCTGACGTCTGTTTCAAAAAGCAGCAATAATGTTGAGTTTAGAACTAAACTCCTTATATGATTAAATTTTTGTGCAGCTTGTGAAAAAATGTGACATCATCAGTGGAGCTCTGATACCAGGATTCTCCATTTTAATGCAGTATTTCGATTCAATTCAGTTTCATTTATAAAGCGCCAAATCAGAACAACAGTCACCTCAGTGTGCTTTATGTTTTAAGGTAAAGACCCTACAATAACACAGAGAAAAAAACAACAAGATTTCCCACCAATGACCAACAGGATGAAAGAAAAACTCCCTTTTAACAGAAGTAAACCTCCAGGAGAACCAGGCATCTGCTGCTTTCAGTTAGGAATGACACACTGAAGAAAGCCAGAGATTAATAATAACTAATGATACAAATATAAAGCTGTGCTCTACATCCATTACTATTTAATAGCAAATCGGTCACATTAAAGGCTAAAGAATTTATATTTAACTGGAACTTCAACATGAACATCGATACGCTCTGTGGATGCTTTGATATTAAAGGAAATGAAATCAGAGCTGCCTCAGCAAGAGGGGAAGAATCAGAGAGAAACTCAGGGCTCAGTGAAAAACCCCACCAGAGCATCTGTTACCTTGGTAACTAACCCAGACTTTAAGTCAGCTCTCTTCCTGCAACAGAAGAGAGAGAGAAAGAAATCCAGCTATTAAAGATCAGATAAATATTGTTCCAAAAGGGGAACAGCAAGCTCAACAGGAAGGAATTCAATGTTGTAATCAGTTGTTCTCGTGAAATATGAGAATAAAAAGGGAGCCAGAGGGAGAAGTGAAAACCCGGACCACTCTCCAAGTGGAGATGGAAGTGAATGTTAGATTGTAGACAAAAGTGTTCACTCCCAAATCCAAATCATTTTCAGGTGTTCTGATCACTTCCATGGCAGCAGGTGAATAAAATCAAGTACCTAAGCATGCACTCTGCTGTTATAGGTGCAAAGGGTGGGCCAATATGTTAAACCCCATGGATTAAGAATGGGATGTTACTCAAGTTCATATGCTTGTGAAAGTAGACGAGTGAATACTTTTGGCAATGTAGTGTATGTAAATCCATCTAAGTCCATTTCTGGAGTATTTGACGTGTCATTGTTTCTTGAAATAAAAAGCAATAAACCATCTCAGTTACCCAGAAGCCAAACTTGCATTTACTGTCATCACCGAATGACCGCCTCGTCTTTATAACAGTTCTTCACTTTCAGTTCAGCACAATGGAGAAACTAATCGAGATGATCAGAAGTCCTTTTGTACTCAGATTTAGTGGATGCAGTGTAAAAAGTCCAAAATAAAACATCTGGAAGCAGTAAAATCCTGTAAGTGACTAAATTGTGCGTGGGTGTGGGATGATGAAATGTATGTGGGCTGTTTTTCTGCAAATCATAAAGTCTTCCTCATTTAATACCTGTGAACTTCCTCAGTATCAGGGGACTTTGTTGTTTATTGGCCAGGTTTCCTCATTATTGTTATATGACGCTCTCATCTTCCTTCTTCCTCCTTCTCCCAGTCGTTTACAGTCACTCTTTACATCTTTGGGCCCGTGGGCTCTGCAGAACGGACGGTGTGCTCGCTGCGTCCTCAGCATCTTCTACGAGAGGCGCTGGGAGCAGAGCCTCGAGGACCTCCGGCGAGAGCTCAACATCGAGCCACCTCCTGTCATACCAAAGGCTAAGAAGAAGACCTAAAGAGGGAAAACATAATGAATGTTCTGGAAATTGCTCTACAAGAGACTAAACCAGAAATATGTAAAAGATTCTGTGGAAATTTGTAATGCTGGGGGGAAGGGAGAATTTCCCTCTGCAAAGATTTGAAAAATCTCCTTTCCTGTTTTTCTGGTTTTAACGGAAGATGATCTCAGCTGATGAGACGCTTCTATTTGTGTCTGATTCTGCCATGTAACTAGAATTATTAAAGTTGTTGTAGTTATTAAAACAGGCTTATTTTTTGACACTAATATTACTTTTTGCTCAGAAGTTGTAACCTCAGCCACTGTGTTTTCTATTGTGTGCATGTGGCAGAGTTCATTGGATACAGTGAAATACATCACAGTGTTTAAGTTGGATTTGTGGTACTTTTACAGAAAGATGTATTTACACAAAATATCTGCACTTGTTCATCTGTCATTGCTCATTAACTGAAACTTGAAATGTGCTCTCAGGGGTATTCTGACTTTTTGTTTTATCGCCCGGTACTTTTCACTTTCTGTGTTCTACAGGGTGGGCCATTTATACGGATACACTGTAATAACATGGGAATGGTTGGTGATATCAAAGTCCTGTTTGTGGCACATTAGTATATGTGAGGGGGCAAACTCCTCAAGATGGGTGGTGACCATGGTGGCC